ACTGTTACATTCAGAACTGGGTGTTATTCTCTACATATCACTAGATTATTGTACTCATACTCTCGAGATATCCTTGGCATATTCCAATTATTATTCAAAGACGTAACTTTGGAACGTTGTATTGTAGTTTATACTCCAAGACATAACAGTAAATAAGAATAATGAATATATCAGAGTGACATTTTAAATTTAAAAAAAACTCAAACTTTTGTTGTTTTACGATATTAATGGAATGTAAATCACATACCTCGAAGGATCAAATTTGTCTGGATCTCGAAAAAGATTTGGATCACGGTGCAGTGAATATATAGGAATCGTGATGGTAGTTCCCTTCTTCACTGGAAACTCTCTAACAAAGATGTCCTCTCTAGCTGTACGCTCTAGTCTTGGAGTTAAATTTAACATTCAAAAGTGACTACCGTATAACTTTTATAATACAAGGAAGTTAAAAGTTTAATAATATCACAAGAAACTACAGATATTTAAACCTGATCTTTCGTAACAATTTGCATGAATCACCATGACCCCGTTTATCCTTGTGTCACAGTACTACAAGGGTTAAAAGCCCGAATCTCTTGCTGAAATACAACTAAAGTGTGGATATAGGAGGGTTACAACACAAGATACGGAAAAAAAGGTTACTCCACGATTAGCTACCAGTCACGCACTGGATGTGGCGAATAAAAATAAACAGATTGTTACCAGAAGCGACACATTAAAGCTAAAGTCTAAATCACCCTTGAAACTGTAAACAAGATAATCACACAGAGCTAGGTATAGAAAAGAGACAAGAGTTGTTCACAAATTTCTTCCAAATCAAGAAGCTGAACAGAATACCAACTGAAAAAAAAAATTACACGAGTGGTATCTGAATTGTGACAAAGTCACATTGGACAAAGTATACCTACTTAAGTGCCTGCTAAACTCTGGACAATTTATTAATATCCTGTTTTCCTAAAATGGGACAGAACATGTTGCAAACATTTTTTAAGGGACTTATGGTGTTGTAATTTACAATTATAATGATAAGTTAAACACCCTGGGAAAATATCGAGATGAATTCTACATACTAACAGACTGTCGTGCTGACACCACCAGGAAATACCATTATTGTTTAGACAGGACTCCAGTGTGGTATGATTCCATCAAGACAGAGTTCTCAGTCATATGGCTAAGTAAACATGTCATTACCTCCACAAGATGAGTACCAATGGGAATGTATTTCGTACTGTTTGCACACGTCTCTCATGGCTATTTGAGCCTTTGCTTTGCCTAGACTGACCCTCCAAAGTCGACATTCTCGGACAGTTCATGAACCTTGGAAAGTCTAAAAAGAGGATAGGGATGCAATAGAAATTATCATTTCATAGAAGACAGTCGGAGGTGAAAGAAGGGACTGTCAACACAGTCTATTTATGTACACACAGACGAACGTGTCCGTCAACACAGTCTATTTATGTACACACAGACGAACGTGTCCGTCAACACAGTCTATTTATGTACACACAGACGAACGTGTCCGTCAACACAGTCTATTTATGTACACACAGACGAACGTGTCCGTCAACACAGTCTATTTATGTACACACAGACGAACGTGTCCGTCAACACAGTCTATTTATGTACACACAGACGAACGTGTCCGTCAACACAGTCTATTTATGTACACACAGACGAACGTAGTCCGTCAACACAGTCTATTTATGTACACACAGACGAACGTATCCGTCAACACAGTCTATT